AATTATTACGATAAGACGCGATAGCAAGACTTATTCTGCCTTCACGAGAGGTCTGTATAGAGCGTTGTTGTCGCGGCATGGTGGTGGTTACGGAGAGAGTCGCGTCAGGTTTGGTGGGGTGCCCAGCTTACTGGTTTGCCCAGCTTACTGGTGGAGCACGTTATGCATTGCATGTATGTAAGCAAAAAGTGGGCCGGCAATATACATGTCTTTTTTTCCATAGGAGACGGCGTATATGGTGATAGGAACAAAAAGAGAAAGCAAGAGTCTAGTCTATGCACTTTTGGGGGAGATGACATATCCTGCGTACATGATTTGTGATGTGCCGGTATGGTCAAGCGATAGGCCAAGCAAAAGATGTGGGGTTAGTGTACAAGGTGTCTCCAAGCGTATAGTAGGTCTATAGCATGCGTAGTCCCTACTCTTCGTTATGCATACAGATGCAAAATTGGCTAGTAGAATGTAAACAACATACCGGAGGCTTACGATCACGTTAATAGCTTAACACCATTTCTCTCGCCTGGAAAGCAGACAGATTTCATAACGTAAAAGACCCCCTCGTCAATTGCGCCCTCTAATAAATTAATAGCACAAACAAGTTATACCAAGTAAGACCGTGAAAGCCGTCATGCTCAGATGACATTGCAAACATGTGAATGAGACCCAAGGGGAGGGAGAGGGGGTTGGATGAGCATTTCTCCACGCACCCAACTCGAACATCATGAACTGCAACCACAACATGACATTGTAACATCACCATCTGAAAGTAACAAAAAAGAAATCAAATCTCAAAATCTTAACTTTGAAATATCAGCCCTACGCATTGCGCAAACACAAACGAACTTCCACCCCCTCTCGCAGAAGATCAAAACCTCTCCAATCGCCCCGATCCATCCCCCCAACCTTACCTCTCTAACTCAACTGCCGACCCGCACCCATCTCACCCGCACACACCGCACTCTGCACTTCGCCCGTCCAGCCGCCTTTCCCCCTCCCGTCCATTCAAACGAATCACCCGAGAATCTCTCCCTTTGGTAAGCAGTAAGAAAAAAGACGACGACGACGACGACGACGAAGAGAAAGAACAAGAAGAAGAAGCAGAGAACTACAATCCGTCCCCCATTTTGACAAAAACTTCTCTTTTCTCTCTCCCTCTCGTGAGTTGAGTAAAAGTAGCAACAGGAGCACAGTAACAGAGAGAGGGAGAGAGAGATCTCCACAAAGGTCGGAGCACAAAACCCACCGCTCGCTCGCTCGCTCGCCCCAAACCAAAAAAAACAACCCCCCCCCCCCATAAGCGAACGTCCGCGCGCATGAGCGCCAGAGCGCTTGCGTCTACCACATCTCAACGAACATCGTGAATCATCCCCTGCGTATACACTCGCCTTCCCTCGCCACCCACCCAACCCCCCCATACAACAATCCCACCCTGAATCCCACCCTAACTCCCCCCCCATCACACCGGCCCCTTCAGCCCAACCCATCCCCTCGCCAACTCAGCCCAGCCCGCCCACCCGCTCATGCACCTCCCATCCCATCCCCATGCCTCCGATCGACCCTTCTCACACCCACCCACCGATGACAACCGCACATCTCCCCCCCCCCCTTGCGCTCCAGAATACCGCCGACCACCCCACTTTCCCGTGCCCATGTCCGTGTCCGTCGTCGCTCACGGACACGGACACACGGGAAAGTGGGGAGGGAAGGGAAGGGAAGGGGTAGTACGGATGATGATGATGATGATGGCTAAGACCATGTGTATGTGCGCGCCCGTTGCTTGGGGCGGGTTGTCAGCAAGGAAGGTGCGTGTGAGTAGGTAGGTAGGTAGGTAGGTAGGTAGGTAGGTAGGTAGGTAGGTAGGTAGGTAGGTGTGGGTGAAGTGTTCAGCCTTATGGGGCGCACGGAGATTTGCTTTGCGGGTGTTTTTGCGAGGGGATGATGGGCCGTGGGAGCCGTGCGCAGTGTGTACGGCGTGTAGGAGGGATGATTATGACTTGGGTGGGCGAGCAGTGATGAGGTGAGATTTCTTAGGTAGAAAGGAGTACTCATGTTGTGTGTATATGTGTATGTGCGTTACGAGGTGGGATTGAGGGTGGAGACAGAGAAAGGAAGAAGAATGGGTGCAAGTGTTGTAAGGTTCAAGGAAAAAAAAAAACTATTGAGATGTCTAGATTTTTTTATGCGCAAAAATTGTTGGTAGGGATTGTTTACTATTCTAGAAAAGAAGACAAAAGGAATAAAAAACCCCGCCATGGGGGTGAAGGTTTGAAAAGATTAAGGTAGATGCCATCAGATTGGGTGATAATTGTACAAGGGTATGTTGGTGATGGTAGATGAAGAAGCCAAAATGCTATACAGACATGTATGCCTGACGAGACGAACCAAGAGGGGATATAGAAATTACACAGCATAGTGCCAGACGCTATTACCAGGAAACCAGCCGTTTTGAATGGGTTGAAAAAAAAAACCAAAGTCAATTTGTATAGAAAAAACACCTGTAGTGCTCTTTTACAGCATAGAGTACGGCCCCAATTTTAAAAAAAAGGTTCGAAAAGCCCATGACCGTCCGTGGAACCAAAGGATATATGCAGACCGTTGATAAGAAAAATGTTACTGTGTAGTGCCATCCACAGTCCAAGAATGCTTGAGCAGGAATAGTTATCGCCTTCGCCAAGGGAAGAAGCGCCGAGGGGTATCGCATCCAAATCATCCACCATGAATGTCTCGTGTATGCTTGGTAATATCGTAGAGGAGTGTAGCAAATCTGGGAAAATGTTCACCTTAGGGGCGGTCTGAAATCGCCGCCAAGATGAGTTATTGGGAGGTGGGGCTTAGTAGCCAGGGTGCGCGCTCGCATTGTACTTTTCCTCAGGAACATACTTTTCGTCCGTGACATAGTAGGAGTGAGGGTGAGGAGCCGAGGGGTACTGCGTTTGGGGCAGCGGTTGAAGAGCAATGGGAGCCGAGGATCTTCTACCTTGACCCGCCTGGGAAACTGGAATCTGGCTTGGTTGTTGCGATGCCGGGGAGTTCTGGGCCGTAATGGCTTGGGGTTCAAAAGTGCCGGGCTGGGCCATTGGGTATGAGGTCGGCTGTGGGGCTTGGTATTGCGAAGTGGGTCCATGGTGAGAGTAGGAGGTGGATGGTGCGGCTGATGGGTGATCATACGAGTAGTGGCGTGTAGACTGCGAGGAGTAGTGCGACGAAGGAGCCGGGTGGGGCGATGAGAATTGTTGAGGAGATGGAGGGTGAGCGGCATAGTGCTGCTGACCTGTGTATGCTTGAGGTGAGGGCTGTTGAACTGGGTATTGATGGGCAGGCTGCGAGGCACCATAGTGCTGTGGGCTATTGTGAGTCGATGTGTATTGGGATCCGTGCCAGTATTCAGGAACGCCCAGGTGGAGGGGAGCATGTGTTTGCATCACTCCTTGGGCTCCGAGTGCTTGTGTTACGGCTCCGAGCACATGGTGTTGAACATGGCTCGGCTGGATGTGGTGTGGGTAACCGGTGATGAGGGGCATGTCCTTGCTTTCCTCATCTTCAAGACTAACCTTCCAGCCACTGAGGAGTTCAGGCCGAGGTTGAATATCGGCCAGCTTAGGGTCCTGGAATGGCCGCTTGAGCTTGCCACTAACAACGTCCTCGAGGCTGTAGTAGGAAATGACGTGGTGGTGGGTGCCTTGGTACTTGACTGAAATGGTCTTCTTCATCAAGCCGCCCTCCTTGAATTCGTAGCTGTCGATGAGGGAGCCACAGAATCGCCGTTGCTGGTCGGGTGTTAGGCTTTGTGCAAAGTTTGCGTAGACCTTGTTCATTGGGTCGGCATCGCCTGCAAGGGAAGGATCAAAGGATTGGTTCTCGTATTCGTCCTCGGAGTTTTCGAGCATCTCGCCAGTCTTTGACCGCACAGGACCGCTGCTTTCCTTTCGCTTCCTCTTGGAGCCACACGAGGGGTTCAGCGCAGACTTCTTCTCCTCAGGCTTGAGTGCTCGAACAAGTTGGCGGTAAATGAGGCAGTTGTTCATGACGCGGCTGGGTGACCAGTGGACAGCATCGGTCCAGCGCTTGATTCCAGATGCGTTCTCCTCATAGACCAAGACAGTTCCCGAGGTGAGCATCTCGGCGCGCTCCTTGTCATGGGGCCGGCGGCTGATATGGCTAAGGCGGCCCTGGAGTGCGGCCTCGACTACAGTCATGGCATCTTTGGTGGTATCGAGGAAGCCATGCCATGTGGGCTTAAAGGCGGGTTGAGCCTTGACCATGCTGCCTGCGACCTGAGGCCTGGGGGGAGGTGGGGTGCTCGCTGCGGTTGAAACCACACGAGATGAAGCAATCGACTGATGGCGTGGGGGTTGACGCGCTGTCGGTTGCATCTGAGGTGCGAAGCCCGTGTACATGGAGGACTCAAACATGCTTGGATATGGAGTTTGGTTGGTGGTTGGTGGTTGGGGCCAAGACCATGAGTCGGCATCGTATCCATCCACCTTTGGCACGCCGCCGAGGGACATGTCATGTCCGAACGAAGGCATCGTCAAAGTGGATGCCCGAATACCCTGCAACATGGGGAAAGTAGGGGTTTTTATTTTGCTTGCTTGTTTGTGGTAATTGGTAAAAGGTGTTGGTGAGTTGGAGATGTGATTGGAAGACAAATGATCCAGATGGGTTGAAGGATACGGTGTGGGCGTGTATAGTGACCGAAATCACATGAGAGAATCTTCAATCGGAAGCCAAAAAAACAAAACAAAAATCCTGGGGCAACTGGGTAAAGCCTGGAAAGGAAGCTATTCGGGTCAGCATTGGAAAATCCAGGTCAAGTCGTTTTCCAAAAAAAAGGCCATACTCACGTGTGATGGAGGCGGGCAAGGGAAAACAAAAGAGGGGATCAAGATCGCACAGCGCAAAAAGAGGGCGAAGCGTGTGGAACGGTTAGAGAGGTGAGCAGAAGACGCAGGTGGGGCAAGTGCGTATGTGTGTGTGTGTGTGTGTGTGTCTATGCCCAAAGTTGAGGGTGTGATGATGTGGCTTGGGTGGGGGGGGGAGGATGTTGGTAGTTTGGTGGTGGTGGTCGTTGCGATTTGCAGAAGCAGCAAAGTAGGGAAACAGGATAAATGGCCAGGAATTTGGTTGGATATATCTCGAGGCCACAGGGTGGTAGATGTAGAAGTGTGAGGCGCACGTCTAAGCGTAGCAAGAAAAAAAATGGCAAACACCGATATGGGGTATATAGGTCGGCGGCGAGAGGAGGTACCAGTAGGTGGTCCAGGGAACGAGTCGATGTATATTTGGGGGTTATATTGATGCGTCGGCGAATTGCGAAGCTACTAGTATGATCAGGGTTGGCAGGGCCCCAGGACGATAATAGGGAGAAGAGGGAATAGCAGCAACGGCGGAATCAGCCAGCGGACCAGGACATGGCTCCTAACGAGAAGGACGCTATCTCACTCATGACAGCCGGGATGGAGGCGGTCGGAGACAAATGGCTCGCCCTGGCAATGACTCTAAGTGCATGGGGCAAGTCAAGCGTGAGGGCATATGCACGACTAGGACGGGGCAAGCACAAAGGGCACTACGTGACAACGTGCCTGCTTGGGGGAGGAAATGGCATGTACCCGGCAGCCATGAGACGCATACGAGAGGACTGGTCGCTTGGAGGGAGGGAGGGGAGGGGGGGGGTAGGTTAGCCCGGTTGGGGTGGCCGACAGTTGATGGGCACAGTAGCGCAGCGATCGCCCCTGCTGAAGATGCAGCTAGTCCCTGGACGGACAGACTCGACCTGAGGCAGCCCTGCTGGGGTGGGCTGTTCTGGGGCGGCCGCCAGTTTGCGGGTTCTGGCCCATGAGGCGATCAACAGGCAGCACGAGTGTACTAGGACGTGTGTAGCTGTCGACGTCGCAGCAGCACCAGCACCAGCAGTACTCTAGGAACAGTCCGGATGCACCGTCGTCGAGGCCACGGCGCCGCGCCCACCGCCTGTTGATTGACCTAACAGAGCCCACGGGCGCCCACTGCCCCATCCATGGGCGATGCTAGGCTAGCGTGCCATGACTCCGCAGCTGCCGGGCCTGGCGTTAGGGCAGCGTAAGCTTCACGTTCCTGGACGGCGGCCGCTGGTGAGGCAGGACGCGAAACTCTGGCCATGCGGCAGCGCTGAGGCCCTGGTGGGCTCGCAGAAACGGCCGTCGGAGAGGAAAATAGACATGGGCGCGCGTGAGGATGATGAGAAGGGGGGAGAGACGAGTGCGAATGAGGGGAGGGGGGAAGGACGTCGGCCGGCGTATAACAAGGGCCGACGTCGGATCAAGGGCGCCAGAGGGGCAGCAAGAGCAGCAGCAGCAGCAAGCGACAGCACACGCGCGTAAGAAGAGGCACAGCGAGGGGAAGGAGAGCGAGAGTGCGCTCGAGAGCACATGGTGCGGAGGTGGCCAAGAGGGTGAGAGAGGGTGAGAGTAGAGCAGGATGCAGCCGGAACAGCGAGGCCAGGGCTGGCAGGCGTGGCCCCAGGGCGGCGCAGACACTGGCACAGGTTGGGCTGAAGCTCGCGGATCCGGGACGGTGCGCTACCATGTTTCACACAGTTGCGCGCGTGGTTGGCGGGGCTGGCTGGCTGGGGGGGGGGACGGTGGATGGGGGAGAGTGGGATGTGGATAGCAGGCCAGTGGTAGTGGGAGTGGTAGTGGTAGTAGCAGGTAGTAGCAGTAGCAGGTAGGAGGGGGAGTAGGAGGAGGAGGAGGAGGAGCAGGAGTAGGAGCAGGCGTCGCAGCAGGGCAGAGCGACAGGCTGGTGTCGGAGGGCGGGCGACGAGGCCACGGGGCGGGTGTGCCTGTGGGAGTTGCTGGGGCGAGTGGTGTCGGTGAGCTCTCCCTCTGGCGGTTGGGCTGGAGGCGGCACCAGGCTGGCCGGCGGTGCACCGGGCTGGTGGGAGGCGTGAACCTTGGACTGGCGGCGCATCACCCGCAGCGGCTTGGCAGAGGGCGCGTGGTGAATGACGAGGGGCGGCGAGGCGGCGAGGCGGCGAGGGGCGTCGAGGGTGAGGTTGGGATTGGCATGAAGCATGTGCACGCTTTGGGCGGCCGGGTCAAGTGACGTCCGAAAGAGGCCTAGCGCGCACGGACAGAGCATCCTGGAGTGAATCATGCACATGCATCACACGCCCGTTTAAGCAGCCAGTCGACTGCCCAGCCAGCGCGCCCTCTGCGAACTTGGTGATCGCCGTCTGTGCACGGGATTTGCAGCTGGGCCTCTGTTGCGACCCTGGAAACATGTGTTGCCATGGCGGTGTGGGGAAGAGAGAGTGGGAAGGGCATTGGCACTGGCATTGGCATTGGCATTGACACTGCCAGCTCCAAGATGCCGACATGTGCGCATGCCAGTATTCAGTATTGCTACTGTACATGTATGTATGTATGTACACGTGTATGCTATCGACGTACACGTGTAGATTGCACCTATGTATGCATAATACTGTACATACATACATATACATGTACCTACATACACATATACATGGACTGCGCCTGATATTCCTTCCATTTGCAACTGCTAGCTACTAGGTGTAGAGTAAATACGTCAAACCACCCACACCAACCGGGGACTGGGCAATGACGGCACCGTGGCTGATTCATGTCCACGGCCCACGATGACGATGATGCCGATGATGATGCTACTGCTGCTGCTTCTGCTGCTGCAAAAGACGCACGACTAGTGCCCACACAAACACCGACAAAACATTACTGTGTTTTCCATCCACACCCACACCCACACAATCACCATCCCTGTCCACCTTGTTCTGTCCCCAGTCGTGCCCTCTCCACCTCGGTCGTCGAGCTGAATATTGAACAAGGCGAAGCTGGCTGCCATGACTGCCTCGGGTCGGCCTTGATCTCGACCTCATCCTACATCCCACCCTGTGTCAGTAGTCAGGAACGCAATCCTTTCAGCGCCGCCTTGGCCGCCTTTGCCCGCCATGAGTCGCGTCTCGCTCTTCGCCTTTTCATGCACTGACAGGTACCACACACACACGTACACGACGCCTCGTTGCCACTCGCTCGGCTCCACTGCCAAATTCTCCCTCTGTTTCACCCGCAGCCTGCAGACCCTTTCCTACACTGCACTAGCTAGTAGCGGTGCTCTGTACTACTACCACCACCACTACCACTACTGCTACTACTACTACCACCACCGTCATGACCCTCTCTGCATGTAATCTCCAGTTCGTCACCAAAGACGCGCGCCAAATGCAACACGCGCCCTCGTGCGACACGGCTGCAAGCCAGGATCAACGCTGCTCCCACAAGCTCTTAACAAAAGCAATTATACCCTTTCGGCCATATAATACATACTGGTCTATACACCAGCCGTGAATATGCTCAAGTTGCCCGCACGTTCACTCTCCATCGTTGATCACACAGTCCGCCCTCGACTCTTGGGGCGCGAACAGACGGGGACGGGGCCACTCTGTCCCCATTAGCCTCTCCTTGCATCGTTCGTGTTTCAACAAGTCACATCGCACTTTACGGCCGCTCAGAAGCCCCGTCGCCTCCATCGTCTAGCCCCTCCAACCCACCCCTCCCCCAACCTATCCACTCCGAGACCCTCTCCACGACGCCTATCACGCTGCATTTTCGCTGCCATGACCAGATGTTCTGCTACCGTCTCGCTTGCCCCGGATTGCTTCTGACAGAGGCCTCCAGCTACCTCGCAATCTGACCTTTGACTTGCCCGCCAAGCCCAAACTCGGCTGCGATCAGCATTTGAACTTATCAACTGCCTTCCTCCTCCTCCCCCCCCCCCCCCGTACACGCTAACAAGACAGCAGTAGTAGTAGTAGTTGGCCTGTCACGCGCTATACCCCATTCAGCCGCACACATGGTACTCTGCCTACATACACCTGCTGCTATGACGCTGCTATGCAACATGTTGCACAAATTTGGCCCGACTACTCCATGCCAACACGCGCGCCCTTCTGCACGCACACACCGCGTTCTCGCAATCGTCCTTCATCTCTGTCCACCTGTCAATCTGCACTGCTGCAACGCAATTGCCTCACCGCTGCTCAAAGACCAAGACCTTGCCCTTCCACCCCCAAGACTTTGGTGGATGCACCTGCGCTTGCGCCTCTCCATCCGATAGCGTCAGCTCCCCCTTTATGCTCGTGTTCGCTCCATTTTTCCCTCCGACATTCACAAAATCGGCTCATGTCGTCGTGCTACCACCCTCGATGGAGCCTTTTTCGGTTGCCAGTCTTACCGAGCAGTCATCCCCGGGCCTGTTCTATTGACTGATAGCGCGCTGCTTGGCGCCACACGCGTCTTGATTCGCCGTGCCAGGTACCCCCTTGTGTTGAAACCAATCTTTGTAAATCGGCAACCTCCTTTGGACCCAAGCACATGATGGATCATGATCGACATTGGCCGTGAATGGTCCCTGGACGATCACGGAGATCCGGCTCCTACCACTACGCATCATTTTCTCCTAGACCTGCACTAACCCGCCCTTCACACGTTGAATACACTGAACACCTCGCCAGGGCTCACAGAAACTCGTCCTCTTGGTCCGGCACCATCTCGGCCAATCTCTTATTCGCTGGTCTTTCCGCGGAGGGTCCGGCCCGCCCACCTGTAGTTCACACCCCAAGTGCGGGATCCGCGTCTAGAGTCCTACCCACCTCCAGATAACCTGCATTTTCCACTTCTCCAGAGTTTCGAATCGACCACAAATCCGCTCCGGGGCTAATATCTTTTTGGCCCTGCGTAGAGGAAACGTCGACCTCCCTGCCAGTCAAACTCTGGATATTAGTAGGGTGACGGAAGCGGCGATACACGTCTTCTAGAATATCATTGCAACCTCTTTTGGCGCTTCTTCTCCTCACGCCCAGCATTACGAATTCCCATGGTTTCAACCTCCCGACGTTACCCTACCTTACGCCGTTGGCTCTGATGGCCCCGTTTCCTGTCTAGAGTTACACCAATTCTCGGTTCGAAATCCGAATATTTACGGAAACCTTTTCGCTCCGCAAACGGCGACGCAGCGTCCTTCGCTCCCGGCCTATGGCACGCACATCGGCAGGTCCCTGAACTCTATTTCCCACCTGCCATGGGCGCCTTCATGGACCTTGCTGTCCGTCTAGTGCCCCAATAGAGAGTCTAGAAACGCCATGGATTCTCCAGCAAACCGCCACCGTGCATCCGTAAATATCTCGTCGATCCGGACCATCGCCCGTGGCTTGCCCACTTCCAATGTGCGAGTAGATTAGTTTCACGACATCAACAAGCAAGAGATACTGCATCTGCAAACTTTATGACTCGTGCAGACAACTAGCAAAAGACCCTTTGCGGGGCCTCGGACTCCACTATGGTATCCCCAAACAGTCTGTCACCTTGGTCAGCTTGTAACAATCAACCTACTTTGCCCGCTTCTGCACACTCAACAGTTTCACTAGCCGGCTCTCCCAGAATGTCTTGCTCAGCCTCCCGCCCTCTGCCGGCCCTTACGTATGACATGCGTCGGTATCAACTCCGCAATCTTTAATCGCTCCTACTTCCTCAAAAACGCTCCACGACAGGCAATGTGAGCGAGCTGCCACCAGGTTGCGCCAGCTGTGTTTCAAGCCACCCCAAAACCCCTAGCCATTACGCGCATTCTGGAGATCTGCCATGTGGTATTCTTTTTGTCTCTCTCTCTCTCTCTTTCTCATTCTCATTCTCACAACTCTGCTTCTAGGCCCCGGAATTGAGCTTGGTGCGCAATGTTGTACGGAATGACGTGCGTTAGACATGGCTGTGGTTCAAACCTTGCTTCCCATAGCAGGATTTGCGACTCCAATGGATGCCATCGGAGCTTCTCGTCAACGTGGCATTGTCCAAATGTAGACATGTCTACCAAATTCGCAATAGAATACGAATTGCACAATGGGTCAGGTACGGCGCAATGTACTCCATGCGCCATGCATAGTGTACACATGTGACCATGTCGGCATATTTACTCTTTTGGCCGTATCGCTTCGAGTATTACTGCGTCGCCTCGAGTATCACTGCGTTGCCTGTTCGTCCAAGGCGCGTAACACATGCAAAGAATAGACCGAATTCTGTCGAGCGGAATCCGCCACTCCGAGGCCGCTTGTCCCAGACGCTCGTCCATGTTGCAATCGGCAAGCACCAATCTTGTTTCAGAGTGCGAAATCTCTCCGCTTCTGCAAGCTGCTGCATTCATGTGTCTAGAAGCTCATGCCGTAGGGCTGTCGGCAAAAGAATCCGACACAATCACACATGTACGGAACTGCCCGTTCCAGGGTTCAACTTTACGTACATACAGCCAGTTTCATGAAGATCACCTACGGATATACTCTTGGGCTTAGTCTCTTCGCTCAAAGGTGGCAATTCATGTCCCTGTTTCTTTTTTGTCGTAATCGTCGCTCGCCACGTGGATTTAACATTTCACGAGCTTCTAGTTGAGACCATGATATGCTACAAAAGAAATGACGATCGATCGCGCTCGGCCTCTGATCCCTTCCCCCCTCCCTAGCTTCTGGATGGCAAAGTCTATTGTGCTGACAGGATGGAAACGGAGGGCAGGCCGTAGCCGCTTCACATCCTACACTGAGCAGCATGTCAGAGAGGACGTGCGTACAGGCAGTAGTGCTGCAAGCCCGTTTGCACATATTGAGCGGCAAGGACCACCCTGCTACGCCCTTGAAGGCAGTCTCTGCGAGTGTGCTCACCTGCATTCCCGTCGTGTTGGCACGCCATGCCGACTTTTTTGGAGTTTTCATTACCAGATGCTTTCACTCCTTGATACACTTAGACATGGCTTGGTGACGCTGGTTTATCCAAACTTTGGGCCCCGCCATGTATGTGAAGTGCATGACCCGACAGTGTTACGGTGCGGACCGTTGCTCACGACAGATGACCCGAAGAGCGTTTAGTGGTCAGACTTTGGTGGATACGAGGACCGCGGTTGTTGATATTACTGGGGAAGAGGGGGGGGTTAGGTGTCGGAACACCAGATTCAGACTTCTGATGATTATGATGGTGACAAGATTGTGTTGATGATGATGATGACGACGACGATGATGATGATGAAGATTCTAACGATCCTGACGATCCTAACGAGACCACGCCCAAATGATGCCATGTCAATGATTCCATATTGATGATGCCATACCACCGATGTCACGCCAATGATGCCAGCGATGCCAATACCAATAATGCAAATGGAAATGCAAATATTAGCAACACCTACAATTGACAAATAACAGTACCCACAATCGTCCCATATGCTCGACCTACCGCTGTTTCACCCATCGCCGATGAAGATTTCGGCCTGTATTCCGGGGCTAAATCTTTTGCATGTTTCGAAACTCTGCTTGTCCCAGCCTGTAGGATCCCAGAAGTTTGTTTCCTTATTTGCCCGTTCTAAGTAGTTCGGCTCACTTGGTGGTTTTTTGTTCGCTCTTCTCCAGATAAATGAAGAGGTCACTCAAGTGAAAGTCTTGTCTCCACTATAATCTTTCTTGCAACGGCGATAGTGACGATCAAACGAGACCCTGAATTCCGAAGTGATGGAGAGAACAGGAAGGGGCTGCATTGTCATCTCTGCATGCATTGTTTTATGCTAGTGGCATGAGTGGTTATTCCATATTCCATATTCCATAAATTTCTCCTCATCGACACTGTCCATTTGTGAAGCCTACCCCAATATACACACTCTTATCATATCAATATCATCACTACCAACATCTGCATAAAACAACCACATATACCACATCCACAAATCTCCCACAAACACGCCCAAAAATAATCCCTAACAACCCCAGACACTGCCATCTGACCGCATAAGCCACACCCCCTTCCCATCTCTCCCTCCATCTCCCCACCCAATCCAACTCAACCGCCACCCTTCCTTCCATGCTTCCATACATACGAACCTGCATAGCACAGCACAGCAACCCAACCACCACCCCGGCATCACCCGTCTCACTCCTCTCTCCCTGATCCAAAAAATCA